ATGGAAGGAAATTGGGATCACTGTAGACACACAAATAATCCAAGGTAGAGAGAAACTGAAGGACATATGATAATAAATATTTCATATACAAGTAAAATTATGTATGTCTGTAATAGCTCAGATAACTTTGAGGGTAGATCTTTGTACAGTGCAAACAGGCCCAAATCCACTCAGCTTATTTACTGGCTTCATATGATGCCCAAAGACCAGATGAAGAAGATGAACAGCTTTAGGATTCTGCCTATATTTTACTATTATGTGTTTCCCTCGAAATTCAAACCCAAGATGCTGTCTAAACCAGTTCAGTGCCTTAAAAATCTGGATTCCTAGTTCCTGAAAATGACTTTGGAACAATAGCTATGGTCTCATGAGACAGAATCTTTGACAGCAACATCCCCTTAAGATATTGCTGCTGCTGAGTGGTGCTCTCATGCCCTGTCATGCTGTTCCCCTCCATTGCACCAGCTGATCTGCTCATGTGCCTGAGTTAGAATCAGACTAGAGAACTGATCCAGGCTTCACAAACCCCATAAGAATGACAACCTCTACATGCTACAACCCCTGCCTGGTGTCATGTAACACTGGGTAATGTCACCCATATTATGATACTGGATCTTTGCAGATACTATCCCCTCACTTAGTAAAGGGCCTCAAAAGCCCTCTGTCAGAGGCCATAGGAATTCCAGCCCTCACCAAAGAAATGTAATCAGCAAAGGAGCATTAAGAAGGTATCAATTGTCCTCTACCAGCAGTGCCTGGGAAAAGTTCAGATAACTTAAGACAAATATTTGCTCCAGGAATTAAAAAAAATACTTGCTCTGAAGTGGAAATGTATCCATACATCATAGCTATTCACTAGGAAGACCCATGATGTCTTTAGCATAACAATCAGTAAGTAGGAAGATTAATTTAAGATGTATCAAGACCAAGTCAGGCAAAATCATCTTAATTAACAATGTTCGTGCTGCAACTTATGTGTTACGCCCCATAATTCTGGCCACAGGGCAAAAAAAAATTCTTTTAAATCAACAGCACTGGAAAACTAGCATACAACCCAATAAACTCATGATTCTACATTTCCCAGAGCCCACTCCGTGTCACATAATCTGGAGGCTGGTTTTTTTCAGCCAGATGAAGACAGCAGGGTGCCTAGCTTGTTACAGCACTGCTTCACCAAGCAGCAGCCTTACCACAAGCATCTGAATGTGAGAATCTAGTGGCTCGGGAACAGGCAAGCTACAGACACGGTTGTTTGGAGACAGCCTGGAATATGAAGCCCTCAAGCCAGAGAAAAGCTTCAACAATAGGAGCAATTTAGCAGCTCGCTCACAATACTTCATCCACTTAACTCAAGCGGGGCTCATGGAAGGAGTGAGCCTGCGTGCCAAGTGCAGCAAGTCGCCTCTGCCGAGGGTACCGCAGGGGGGATTGGCTTAGGGATGCTTTGGGTTAGGGGTGTTTTTTATGAAGGGAAAGCTACCCAGCCTTCCCTGGCAGCGTCGGCCATCTCCTGAAGGTGAACGCCACGCTTGCCACTGGCAAGGAGACTTGGTACAAGTGCAAATAAACATCTTTTTAAACACAGTACGCCCACTCGGCACGTTCGCTAACCGCAGCGACCTGCTACCGTTGCCGCGGGACAAGCACACAACAGGCTTTCCCTATACTCGCAGCGAGCCTGGGGCCGCCGTCTGCGGCCAGGCCGGCAGTGCCTGTGCCCTCCCGCGGCCCCCGACAGCGCAGCGACAGGCCGGGCCCCGACAGAGCACCGCCACGCCGGGCCCCGACAGCGCAGCGACACGGCGGGCCCCAGCTGCCACCCCGGCAGCCCGCGCGGCTGCGGCAGCGGCGCCATCTAGCGGCGCGCTGGGGCAGCGCCGCCGCCCGCCCCGTCCCCCGGCCCGGCCGTGCCCTCAGCACCCGGGGCAGGGTAAGGGGGGCTGGCTCCTCCCGAATTAACCCCGTCACACATGACGCGTTCTCTTATTTGGTCTATTACTCATTTCCTTAATTATCTCCCGTCGACAGACTGGAGCGTCAAGCGCTCACCGGCTAGACGAGCGGCTCGTTTGTTTTTACAGCAGTGCATTTTCACATTGCTGCGGTTATTTCATGACTACGGTTTTAACCTTGCAACCAAGTTACTAAACCAAACACTCCAAGAAAGCCCCCCCAAACACAATAACTAACACAAAGACCAGGTCTTGGCTTTCCTTTCTAACTAGCAGTTAAGGTCAGCAGTCTTTCTAAAGGCATAAAGAATATATGTGGGCACACACACACACAAAAGCCCCCAGATTTTAAAATTGAACATGATCCACAACTCAATTATGTCCATCTCATTCTCTCCTCACACCTTGCTTCTCCCTCTCTAGATTTCTGCAAAGCTAGGGGAAAAAATATCAACAGTCTTTCCATTAAGTTCTCTCCTGCTTACACACACCTCACTACCGCGAGAGTAAACTCCACTTGCAGCTGCCCTGATATAAGCTCCCTACTCCAAATGACCAGTAATTTTGCAGTTGCTAAAACTATGTGAGAATCCTAACATCCTGTAAGCCCCCTTTTTAGGTAGTGGAAAGCTGCTGCAAAAGGTATCCAACGAAGACCTCTACTGAAGAACTTTATCCTCATGAGGATGAGTAAAACCAGTTAACACCACTTGGTATTTCAGGAATAGTCTCAATTAAAATCTAGGAATGTAATCCTTCTTTCCCCTCTACTCCTCCCACAGCTTTGAAAAATTTTAGGCACAGTTTTATCACAAAAGTGGCACGTAATAGCTATGCCATAAGGCCCACAGAGCAAAGCATTAAATGAAACTTTAAACAAATAATTTGACAGAATAACTGAATGTCTTCAACTTTACCATCCCAGGCCCTGACAACAATTCAAGCAGTGAAATCACATCAGTATCACTGATACACGTAAAGAAAAAAAAAAGGTATCTATTGTTACAGAGCAACATTTCCTCATATTTTTTAAACAAAGTATAAAGCTCTAGGGCAAGCACAAATTAATCTTGGTAAAGAAGTGGAAATACTTCCTGTGTGCCTTGGGCATTCTCCCATTGGACACTGTGCTCACCTCTGCAAATTCTAAAGTTAGCCAGCCCTAGCCTTTTTATGGATAGTTCCTTCAGGTCTAGTATGTGCTCCTCTCCTCTCCAACCAGTGCTATTGGTACCTTGTCCTGCAAATAAGTCTAAACTGCTAAGCATTCGCAATAGTCCCCCCAGCTTCTTTCAAAAGCAATAGCTTGCACAGACAGCTGCAAGTGAATAAATCCAGCCAAGAGCAAGAAGCTGTCTCCCAGCAGTAGCTGTCTCAGGCAGTAGCTGAACAGGTACTCCAGACTTGGCACTCATGCAGAGCCACCACCATGCAGAATGGCCAAATCTTCTTTTCTGTTTGGAGTAGGAATCATGATGAAACCTACTTATTACCTGGTTAGTTGGACAGCCAGCAGCTTTGAAGCAAACAAGAAGCGGTGAAATAACTCTTTCCCAGTTTGCATCATCCCACCTATACTAACTGCAATCTGAAAGAATACCTCACCCACAGGCAAAGCTTTGTATTAACCCCCTTAACTTGAATGCCAGTAGCATCAAAGCTTTCCCATCACCCTGGATGCTTTGGCACCAGAGTTAATGCAGGCCTCCAATCTTATTAACAAGGGTATACCCAATTGGGCTGCAGTTGGGTCTCCAACTGCCCTAAACATACACAAAAATAGGTCAGAGTTCACAATCACTGGGGTAAATTCTGAACTGCTTCCTTGCAATAGCAAAGGCTGCTAAAAAATGAATTACACTAGAAAACTTTTAGGACGCACAGGGAAACAAGCAGCAAAACATGACTAATCACACCATCTGACAGAAGCATCAGTGATTTTGCAGCAGCAATTAAGATTACAAACCTCACACACAATGTTGGGGATTTTCTTCCTTCAGCTGCAGCAATAGTAAGAAGGTAGTGATGTCTTAGAAGCAAACTTTTCCTAGAGTACCGTGTGATAATTTCTCTGAGTCATGGGAATTAATGGGCAACACTGAGCAACTGGAAAGCCAATTGTGCCTGTCAAGATCTCCAAAACAAACAGTAGCATCAAGAGATTGCAAGCTCACAATGGGAGAATAAGGACCCCTTTGTCCACTATTTTGTACCCAACAATTCCCCAGTTTATGTTACACTTGTGTCCTAGTTTTGGCTAGGCTAGAGTTCACTTTCTTTTTATTAGCTGGTACTAGGAAGTACTGTGCTGTGGATTCAGTATGAGAACAACACTGATGTCTTGCAGTGCAATTGCAAATCAAGGTCTCCGCAGTTTCCCATTAGCTGTCAGTGAGCAGGTGCACAAGAGGGTGGGACGTAGCACGGCCAGGACAGCTGAACCAAACTGGCCAAAGGGATATTCCATAGCATAGAATGTCACACCCAGTACATAAAGTGTGAGAGTTATCCAGAATTGTGCCAATTGCAGCTCAGGGAGAGACAGGGCATCCCTGAGCAGGTGGTGAGCAACTGCATTGTGCAGCACTTGTTTTTCTTGGGTTTTTTCTCTCCCCTTTTCACTACTATTATTAGTATCATCATTATATTTCACTTATTTCAATTACTAGACTGTTCTTATCTCAGTCCATCAGTTTTAGGAGTTTTTTTCCTGATTCTCCTCTCTATTACATGAGGGAAGGAAGAAAGGGGGAAGTCAACAAGCAGCTGCGTGGTACATGGCTGTCAGCTAGGGTTAAACCACGACAACCTGTTAAGCCAACAGTGGCATTGCTAAACTTGATGTAAACTGCAGTTGAGAAGTCAAGGGAGGTGTATGTGTGGATACACACTGGCTGCAAAGTGGTTTTCAAAGCACAATATTAAGAAATAATGCAAAAGAGTTGCTGTGTCTTGCTCTTTTCATACACCTGCTCCATCAGCACTGCTGATCTCATCTCTCTCTTCACAGCAAGAAGTATTATGGATGGAATATGCTTCACTTTCGTGTCTGTTTCTGGTGTGTCTTTTTATTAACACATCATGAAGCCACTGCACATGTCGGCACAGTCTTGCTATTACATACATGGACTCCTCTAAATGTAGGTTATCTGTCATATCACGTCTTCCTGCAAGATAAGGGAGAGAATTAATTTTAATAACTTTTTCTGTATTCAAAGTTGTAGAAGTGGGCGATGTACAGATACACGACAGAATGTCAATATTGGGGCACATCCTACAATGCCTTCATCCTCATGCCTTTTGTTCATGATACAGATTTGCTACAGTTCAGAATGTAGCTTTGCCTAGAACCACGTACTACATAATTGTGTTTTATGCTATGGAACAGTTTCTACAAGGATACACTAAGAAAAAAGCAACTGTTTTCCTAGGGTTTTAATTTCTCTCCCGTCAACTCTATATGCAAATTGCTCAGAAACACATACAAAGACTTGATCTGACTCATTTTCATCAAGTTCTTTCCTCTTCTGAAAAGTGCACCTCTCTTACCTCAATCTGCTTTTCAATGCTTGCTTTGTATTTATTCATCATCACACCTCTTATTTTTGCTCCTGCCAGTAGTTTTCCTCTGCCTCCAATTCTTTGGTAACGCTTCATATTTCATTGTTACTTCTCACTGATTTCCCTCAGTAACCATATTTTTGCTTTCCCTTGCTCATATCTTGGTAAGCCGCAGAAGCCGGGAGGTTCAATGACCTTAAGATGTTCTCCTGGAAGTCTGGCCTCTTCAACTCATTGCTCCAGCTCTGTGTTCCAGTTAAAACTCTTGGAACATCTCCCTCAATACCTAACCAACTGCCAGGATCTCCCATTTCACTATTTCAACCTCATGAAACCTGTCAACACATTTATCCTTGTCTGAATAGGAACAATTCCACACTTTTTAACCAAACCAGGGCTAACAGCATAAGAGCAGCTTTCTTAATCTAGTCTGTTAACAACAGATAGCTTCCACCAATTGCTTTCTACAGCATGGAAAACAAACAGAAACCTAAAAAATGACAATAAGAAGTAACAAATGGCTGTCAATAGCTAGATATTGGTAGGTCATAACTGCCCAGGTTATAGATACCAAGACAAAAAGAAAAATGTACTTTCAGTAAAAGTGGGAAGGAGAACACACAGGTCAAACAGACGAAACTTCTTCCCAAGCATTCCAGAAGTATACGTCTTATGACATCCAAGACTGCCACCTGTGACATTTCCTTTAAAAATCTAAGTTTTTTAACAGGTCTTAAATACTAGCCCAGTTAGACCCACCCGACAAACTAAAAAGGTAACATTTCATGGACAAGGTCTACACATTTTATGTTTATGTAGCAAAGAATGTAAACTGAGACTAGCTTTCCATAGCAAAAATAGGAGGAAGTCATCATAATTAAACATGACTAATTTATCGTTGCTGCCTATACAGCAAATAAAATAACTGATGCTTATAAAACTTACATTTATATTTCTCCTCCTCTCACAGACTTCTAGGTAAGAAATATTTTTTTACTCAAAAAACATTCTATTTAACTTAAACAGTTTAAAACCATTGTTCGAATTTCTTTTTTTCCAATTGAGTCAGCTTTCGGTAAGGCCTAGAAATCCTGACAGATGTTTCAGAATCTAAAACTTAAAATGTTTTCTTTGGGTTTAAAACTTTGCTGCATAGCTTCAGCAGTTTGACTTAAGCATAATATAAATCCCTATTTCTCACTTGTTCAGACCTATTCAAGAACTTTGCCCTGAAATTGGAAAGTTGGATTGACTTTCCTTTAGTTGTAGTATAACAGAATCTTTGCAGCCATTTTTAAGTTAGATAGTACATGATAACTTCAGAGTTAGGAACAAAATCAAATGTACCTTTTTGACTACGATTAAAGTCTAAAGAAAGCAACCGAAAACCTGACATCACATTGTGATATCTCATGTACCATTTGCCTTTTCTCAGTTTTAATTAGGTTAATTAACAACAGATAGTCTGCTGTTGAAATTATACCCGTAACTGTGTGGACAGTGCTAAAAACACATAACTTTAGTCAGTGTTGGTAATGCCACCATGATAACTTTATTCCACTCTCAAATTCATCGTATCCTCATCCTTAATGATGCACTACTTAGCCGTTTGCATTCAAATATGCATATAAACATCCAAAAGAGTTACCATAACAGTTTTTATTAAAAAAAACTAATGTACAGGTTTTACCCCAGAGCAGCTATATTGTCCTTAAAAAGTACTGTATGCATCAGACATTTAAGGTTTATCCCATCACTGTCAATTGTCTTTGAAGAGCTGTCAAACACCTCCAGCTTTAACAAACTTCAGTACAGTCTCAAGAAAAAGCTTTTAGCTTTTAAATGAAGTGGCTTAGTAGTTTGTGGCATGAAGACAACATGCCACCAACAAATCAATCCTTGTGTTTACAGCATTCTCTCAGGAATGATGTAAGTTTCAAATCCCATGTAAGAATTCACACCCTGCATAAAACTAACACAAGATACATTATTCAGATAAACAGACAGCACTTAGAAAGGTCTGTCAACATTCGTATTTTTAACAGCTCTTTAAAGAGGTAATGGTGCAGATTAAGTACAAGCTCTTTGCCTCAGTATAACACATATTTGAAATTAAAGTAAAACATGGAAGACCAATATCTTTACATTTTATTCTTCAGAAAAAGAAGAATCATAAAGAAAGCATTTAGTAGTCCACTTGTGCTTAAAATATTCAATGCATGAGAAAGCCAAAAGAAAAAAAATACACATTTTTGTACACCATGATCAAAAAGATAACATTATAAATTTTCAGAAATTGCACTGTATTTAGAACACTCTCTAGAATCTGCTCCACTTCTACGTATGGCTACTGAGGCTGCCTGACACAGTTCCTTTTCCACTTTAATTGCCAACCTGTGGAGGCCCTTCAGGGATGAGTGATGTGAAGAAGGTTGTGATAAAGGACCAAGCAGAAGCCATGAATCCAGGCTGCTGCTCTGTATTGCCATCTTCACTTGCATCTTCTCCACTGTCTTCATCAATCCCATCATCCATAAGTCGCTCCTTTAAAAACAGAAATTGAAGCAATTCAACTGCTTCTTTCCAGAATTCTGACACAAGGTAACCAGCAGTATCTTTCTACATTAAGTGACTTCTCTCAGAACAACCTCCTGAAGTAACTAGCACGAAGAAAGTTTGTGACTGAAGTAGAGACAATCAGGAATTGCCAGAATTGAAAAATACAGAATTTAGGCAGCAGGCACAACCTGAGGACAACGCTGAAACCTTTCTGATTAATCAACTCCATTTCATACGAGTTGACTTTCTGTCCAGGTGTTATATACTTTACAATATAATATATAGGAGTCTCAAAAGACATGTCTGCCCTTACTCACCATCTCTTCGAGATCAGGGTTATTTGCATGTTGCCCATCACGGTTCACTTCTGCATTATTGGCTGCCTGTTGTTGGCCTCCCTCTTGCCTAAAGGGAAACCATCCAGCTTGGTGTCTATGTAAGAAAGCGGAACAGTTGAAAACCTCTCTTTTGAAAGGAACAAGAAGATTTTTCTGCTACAGCTAACTACTTCAGTAAATTCTTTAAGTACTCTCGAACGAATGAAGTTACATCTATTTTTCTGTAATTCTTACTTTTACATTGAATGGCTATTCTTCAATGTCTGAGTTAAGAAGGGTCTTGGGGTTCATAGCCCTCAGTTCCAGAAGAGGAGTAATGTACCATGATTAGGTGATTAAATATGTAGAATACTTTTTTTGGGTATCCTCCCCATTTTTAAGTACTTAAGTTATATAAATTTTCAAAGGCAGCCTTAATTTTTCATAGTTTAAATTTGATTTTCTGTGGAAAAAAGAATTTAAACTTCAGCTAAGGCTTGAACCACATTGCCACTGTAAATTAAATAAGCCTTTACATGTTTTCAAGTGTCTACATTCTGATTTCAACTATCCTATCTGTAAGAAAAACAGAACAGCCCTTGTGAGGATTGAGACTACAATGTAAGGAAACTCTCAGTGACTGACATCAGTCCAAAATATCAAGCATTACTGTTGGTTTCCACTTCTACTTACATCACTAAGGTATTTTCATATGCAAAAGGAAGCGATGACAACAGTACTAATATTTGTTAATGAAACAGAGCGTGCACTTAGGTCTTTATGACATGTTGCAAAAATTTTTTAAGTCCCTGCAATTCTACCAGATCTAGTACCCACCATTACAGTATCACTACTTTAACTCTGCCTAACAAAATTTACTGCACAGATCACATAAGTTATTTTTGAAATTTACATGAGCTTAGCTCTGCCATTTCATATCCAAGAAGTTTATGCAAGTATATGCTTTATGTAGATGAACTTCCCTACTCTCAGCCTTTCTAAATTTTCATCCCAAAATTCTACAATACTGACCTATTAATGTCACCAACATTTAAGAGCATTGTGTTTCAGGTACAAGTGGCATCCAACTCACTGTAAAAGTGTTTTGAGAATTACTTCTTTCTTTCTTTGTATCAGTTTGTCTACTTGTTTGAATTTTTTTTTTAACAGACACACCCTATCGCAAAGGAGCAGTGTCTAAACTTTTGCACGTGGGTAATTTTTAATTTTAAATGGATTATACCTTAGCACTGTACTCCACATCTCAGATCTGCAGCTATACTCAACTGTGGTACTCACAAATAAACCAGCAGCATGGCTCCCATTACCATGACAAATCGACTGAAAGAAGAATAGAAGTATACAATGCTCAGAAGAATTGCTGCTCTAGAGAACGTGTACATCCAGTCCAGCCAGTCCCGATTGAAGTCCTCTTCATTCACTACTGGGCCACCCTGTGCATTCATCTGAACATTTGGGTTTACAGGTCTGTTCTCCTGAACGGCTACATTTGGCACTGCTGCGGGCTCATTTGCAGGAGCACGTTCCGAATTGACAGCCTGGGCAACCGCAGATCTTGCCGGCTCCGTGCTGGAAGTCACTTGGGCTGAAACAGCAGCTTGGCTAGAATTTTAAACATAAAACTGGTTTGTCAAAAAACATGCACTGTAATTACTAAGCCTATTCTTCTTTTCTACACTAGTAAAAACAAAGTTTCACATGTAATACGTGTCAAAACAAACTGCATTCTCCCTTAGATCTTTACTTACTAGTACATTAATTCCAATCTAAGGTTGGATTTCATAATTTGCTGGACAAAACTAAGTGTAAAACAACAGACCCAGACAAAATAAACAGACATTTTGATCCTGCACACAACATTTAATACATTTTTTTCATTAGTGTAACTCAGTACTAAGATAATACAGACTTACTATTGCATGTAGTACTGACGTACATACATCTGTTGCCACCATATCATCTGTAAGGGACTGAATGAAGGATACAGAGAAAATCCAGCAGGAACACCTTGGCCTGGAAACTGGTTGCCTATATTGCTAGAGAAGGATTTAAAGAAAAATATTCAGCTCTAAATTGCTACATCTGTAAAATGCACTACTATTAAAAAAAACGAAGTAGCATTTTTCCTCTCGTTTTTCCCCCTAAAATAATGCACTGAAATAACACCCAAACAACATGTAGTGAGATCATCTAAACCATCCCAAAAAAGCACTATATTTTCATAAAAGAAATTAATAAGCAAAGTTATTTCTACAGAAAGAGTACTTATGTTATTGTACTTAGTCTGTCACTAGCTGCATCTCTGGGACAAAACCATGTTGAAAATTTTTCAAGAACTGTGTTAACTGCAGAAATTCTTCCCTACAGTTCCTTTTAAGTTCAGGGGTCATCCTTAAAGGTGCTACAGGAGCTGTAAAGGGAAAACTTACTATCTTCTACAGCTTTCTTTTAGAAGCAATACCTGAAATATTACTGTGATCAAAGATGTGAACAAATGAATACCAGCAAAGACAACAAACAGATACAGCTCTGAAGACTGCAACTAAGAGCACTGTAAAGGATTTATATTCCCCCCACCCTGAATACTTCGAGCATTAAGTGATTCTCCTCCCTATGGGCGTTTAGCTCTGGTTCACATGCAAAAGAGGTAAAATTCCTGTATGCAGGTTTTAGGTTTGGTTTTGTCTGCTTTTAGACTTCTTAAGCCTCTCTTACCTCCTAGAGCACATAGCATGTTTTGGCAAGATTTCCAACTCTTTCCCAAAAGATTTTGATGTAGTGAACTGTGGTAAACCAGGACATCTTTCAGGACAGCATGAGAGTATAAAGCATGAAGAAAAGTTTATTCAGACTGCAGGAAGCAAAAGCTGAGACTGCTGTAATTGTACTGTAGACTACACCTGTTCCCTAAGTAAGGCACTCCCTGCAAAAATATCACCAAGAGAATTCATTAGTCTACCAGGCATTCAGATATATACGACATGCCCAGAAAGAAAGATGGGGGAAGACATTAAAATCTTTTTTTTCCATGTTATGCATGAACAAGCATCTCACTGTAATTCTGGACAAGAGCCTGCCATGCAACTCCATGACCTCTGCTAAAACTATTATGTTTGTATTTAGTTATAACCTGTTCTGACAATGGGGGTGGGGAGCAAGCAAAATGACTTTCCTGATACCAAATACAAAGTGAGATAATCAGAGGCAATACTCTAGGTTTGTTTAAAAAATTGAAAGGGTGAACTGGCAGCCCTGCTGATGCTATTTATTTATGCATAATTAACATGTTGAAGCAGCAAAGTTGTCAAGCTGCTACTGAAAAACATTAATCATGATTTACAGCTGCAAGCTTTAGGAATGTGTTTTTTTATCCCCAGAACTGGCAATCACTTTGAGAAATAAGATACGTCCAAAATTCATAAAACATTTGACTCTCAAATTGAGAAAACAATTCAAATATTCTGCATGGGGGTCATCAAGTACTATGCTGAGACAAACCACTGAGCAGTGTCTCAATTTCAAGCAGGTAGAATATCAGTATCAGTATCACTGTCAGCTCAGTCACCAGTAAGGAGTGCTACCCAACTTGCCTGAGTGAATTCTGAAGGAATTCACCCAGTGTTCCTTTCCTCATCAGATAAAGACTTCAGGGTTCTTCTTTGTAACTGCTATGTTGAGCTCAACAAAAGTTGAGCTGCCTCAGGCTAATAGCTCACCCTCACAGACACATCTTTTAGAAATATTACCGGATTTGAGTCTCTCCTTTCTTCCAAACTCTTTCAAAAGTTGCTTTCTTGATGTCTTAAAGCTTAATAGTAGATGAAGTAACCACTCAAAACATGAGAAACCACAAAAGCTGAGTTATGTCATGTTCTTTTCTTTAACATTCAAATATTTTGGTGGGCTATTGAATTTCCTTTTTTTTCCAATAGTTTTTCTAGGAGATGTATCTATTTGAAAAGCAAGACTTAAGTTTTCCAAGATCAGGCTCCTTTAATAAGCAAAAGTACACTGGCTTACAACAGGCTTCAGGCTTAGAACGACAACTAGCACAGCAGTATTTTGTTTGCTCATCAAAAATCAAAATTAAGCAGATGTTGTCAATTATACAGCTATTACAGTTGTCAGGATATTAAGTTAGCTTATGAAATTCAGAAACAATTCCAAACAGTGTAACATATTTCAGTGAGAAGAACCTCCCCAAAGGAAGAAGCTCTTCTCAGCAAAGCAAGCCAGCTTGCTGTTTAAAGAAAAAGGAAAGTAGCATGTACTTTTTCCTTATCTTTTTCCAAAAGGAGAAAAAGGTAGGAAGCAGAATATTTCAGAAGAGTGGCAGCAACAGCACGAGAGCAAAGAAGATCTGTAGGATCTATACCGGCATTCAAAGACTGGACAACAAACCAGAGCAGGCAATAGAAGAACAGGTATGCCAGAAAACAGTTCAAATGGTAGAGATAGCTTTGGAACATTCTGAAAAGACACATGCTCCTTAGGATGGCTAGAAAGCTCAGAATTATTTCTTTTGGTCTATGGAAGACACCCAAAATGAGCTAACCAGCACTGAATTTGACTGTAAGGTCAGACTAATTAGCTACGATCATCATGAATATACTGCTTACCACTAGTGGAAAATAAGACTTTTTATTCAGATTCAAAAGTTGCATGACTTACAATAACTGGGTTTGTTTAACCTTGACCCACAGACATCTCATATGAGCTTGGGATATCAACTTCAAGTACTATTTCAATATCCTCCTCTACGTTATTTGCTACTCAGAAAAAAATACAGCGAGCAAAGGTGACTAACGCAGCAAGGTATTTATGTGCTACAACATACTGCATGCTGTCAGTATGTAATTTTGTTATCTGCTTTCAAACATGGCTGTGTACACTATGAAAACATTTCACTGGAGGGGCCAGCCACACTTGACAAATAGTCTTCCTGCCTTGATGTTTCTTGTCTGTTTACTGCTTCCAAGTACTCTCCAATCTGAAATGCAAGCCGTTTCAGGACCGAGCCATCTGTTCTGTTTGTACCTGCACAGCACAGCAGGGGCCCTGATCAACAAGAGCAGACAATGCTGTGCTTGCTCTCCTCAGCTGAAGACTAACTTGGCAGATACATAAACTACTTGCCCCGTCCCACCCCAAGTTTAGATTTTTAGAAAACAGCATTTGCAAAAGCTCAAAAGCAAAAGAAAGTTTTTAATTGTTTCCTCTGTAATATTTAAACAATCTGAATTAAATGCTATTTTCCCAAAGGTTATTCAACTTAATGAGGCTTTGTGCCAGGAACTGAAAAACCATCAAAACCATTATTTAATCACTTAACATTCATGTTACTTCTTTGTAAAAATCAGTTTACTAATGGAAGCATTGCAAAATGCTCAAAAAAAATGACCATCACATGTATTTTCAAACACCTGGAGACCTTTCCCCATCACTAGTGCCTATAGTTCATCATGCAGCTAGAACTGAAGTGTTTGGTCATGAAAATACACAAAGCAATGCCAGTTTCAGCTATGAATCTTCGTTGTTCCTAACAAGTCTCAATCTGTGTATAAATTACATTAAAGCAAGATTTCATTGCCCTAAATGATGTTAAAGAGAGCAGCTAAAAGAAGAGGGCATTTCTTACTGCTAGAATACAAGCAGCAATGCCCTAAAGCAAAACCAGATGCGTCTGAGAAGATTACTGAAGCATTAAAAAAAAAAAAAAAAGGTTTTTCAAGAAGAAAGCAGACTACAGCAGGCACTAGGCAAAGATTATTTGGAGTTGAGCAGAGCTGGTGCCCAGCAGTCCACAAATATCTACTTTAAGTTCTGATAGCATTCCATTAAAATACTTTTAAAAAAAAGCCTAAGACTATTTAAGGTTCATTTATTTTGGCATTTCTGTTAAGACTTGGAATGCACTCCTAAAAACCTTGAATCACTTCCTCTTACTACAATTCTGTTTCCACTACAGAATGCTCTTGCATCACCGTCTAGATTCCTTGTGGATTACAAAAAAACAACAAAATATGTGATTTAGGTGCACTACTAATGCACCTCAGTCACAAACAGGAGCCTATTCCAGGTAACCGAGCTAGAGACAGTCCAAATAAGACCGAAACCCCTGAAATATGTGCAGTTGATGTCAGGTTCTCAGCATCTCTGTCCATCTACAGATCCACTCCTCTCAACTCACATTACATGCCAGACATAGCAAGTAATTTTTAACTGACTTTTAAATTACTCTTTCTTTCAAAGGCAGCAATGTCTTCCAAACTGACACATCCCACTGTATTTTAATTGAATTATTTCAGCCCAAAGACTTAACAACGGTTCTGCTGCCTTTTTGAAGTTCACAGCCTATTCAGATAACCATGCATGACAAAAACTCAAGTACATCTATGTGAAAAGCTAATCAGAAAAACATTAAAAACTTTTTTACAGATTAGTCATTTACACAACACATAATAAATTGCTTCCAGAATTAATATACATTATACCAAACAGCAGCCTTGACAGTCAACCTCTGGTCTCACCTAGGTTGGACATTAAGCCAGGTATGACCACTTCTGCGAAGATGTACATGGTCAGCATAACCTAAGTGCTCCACCCACTGCAAATACTATTTCTTCCCAGCAGAAAGGACATTTCAGATAAGAAAATTAAAAAAAACTTGAAGGAATGCAGGATGAAAACTATCAAGAATAGTAAAGTCCAAGTTAACTGTAATTAGATCTTGTAAATTGGACTGAAACTAAGTAAACTTTCAACAGTTCTTGATATCTGTTTTCTTTCCAGCAACAGAAACACTTGTTACTGTTAGCGGGTTCATAGTTTGGTGGTTTTTTGTTTCAACATTCAAATAAGTTTCTAGAATCTATTACAGTACTGAGAGAACACCCTGTCAGAAATAAAACTTGAAAGTGCTCCCTGAGGAAATGACAGGTATCATCTCAGAATGCACTATCCTCCTGTTTTCCCCTTGAAAGAAAATAACAACAACATGTTTAAGCAGCTGCAAAGGCCATATAGGTTAAAATTAGTAAAGCTGCTTTTTAAGTGCAAAAGAAACGACAGAATTTTGGTAGTTATGTAATAATAGATCTGATCTACAAATGTGCACCGATTACATCTCATTGGTATGCATGAAAATACTTAAACATGCCGTTGTAGACACACGAGCACTTAACATATACTCAAAACACCCGCAGATCATTTCTACAGTTGAATCCAATATGAAAAAGTGAAGAATTACATCTCTTACGTGTCAAAAACTAAGAACCATCATATTCCGGTAAGAATTTAGTGTTGACTATTAGAATAAAGGACAAAAAAAAAAACCAAAACAACTAGAAGCAATAATTTTATCAGTTATATTACTAACTACATCCACTAGATATATTAAAGCTGCACTTCTGTCCACGCAAAGTTGAGGGCAAACAGCATGAAGAAAAAATAAAAAAGCAGCCTGAAAGGGAGCACCAAGGACACTTCTTTGACTGACTCCTGGCTAAAACCACTTATTTTCATATGAAAAAAATGTTTCTAATGTGACTTATGCTTCAAGATGAAACAACCAAATCATTCTGCAGACTGAAAGAAACCCAAGTGCAACTGAACATTTGAAGTACTTAAAGAGTATCAAAGAGCTGCGGATTGCTCCAGTCTCACTTACCCTTGCATTAAATAAGGGAACTGGTGGCTTGGTGTGGGATTGCTTTGTGCTTGTGGAAGATTACGATGCCTCACTCCATCTGCACTAGTGTTCAAAGATGTAGATGAAGCTTCTTGGTTTGTGGGTGAGGCAGCAGTTGATCCAGAACGGTCTAAATTCTTGAAAATAAAATAAAATTGCGGTTGTAGATCTTTTTGCCACAGTTACCAAGATTTACTACTGTGTCTTAAAAAACTATTTGCTTTAATAGTTGCAAGTTTTATTGAGAATATAAGCACCAGCAAGTCATCTGGGGGTTTATCAGTTCTGACAAGCCTTAGGGCACATATTAAAAAAAAAAAAGCTTTCAGAAAGGCTCAACACCTGATAGGTTACAGAGAAAACCACAAGTTGCTGGGAATCACAGTTTCAAAAAGCTGAGGCAAACTATAACTTAACTGAAAGAATATTTAGCAGCAACAAAAATTCTAGTGCCTATCATTAACAGCAGTAACTACAACCTCAGGATATGACTTTATATTGAGAGACAACAGTGCCAGCAGTGACTTAAATACCATTCCTCTATCCTTGCCTTCAGTTACCCCTTCTATTCTTCATCCTCTTCACTGTGCCAGCTGCCCAATCCAAATTGCTGTGCTCTCTGCTGCAACAGGGCTGCCAATGCTAATAGGGAAGCAGCTAGGAAATACTGAGGCTCCCAAAACACACCTAAAACTAGTGTGTCAAATCTTCAATACTTTCCAAGAATCAATACTTAACTCCAGAAGTAGAACAACAGCTGGCTCCTAAATTGTCACCATAACAAGACTACAATTTGGCCACTGAGATGCATTATTTCAGTTTTAATAAGCCTCAAATCCTGTTGCTAAGAATTACTGCAATGTTTACTCAGTAGAAAATCTTCTTCAACTTTGACAACTCAGGAAGTGAGGAGGTGCAATTACTTAAGACATCCATATCACATTTGCCCTACAAAGGAAAACAAGAAAAGTTTACCACTAGACAGTGGGAGGGGGAGTAAAAATGAAAAACAAAGGAAAGCTTTGGATTTAGGTTGTTTCCTTCAAAGTATTATAAACCTAACACTGTGCATACTTGCCTGCTTTTAGCAGGCATTAATACAGTCATTCAAATACAACATTTCCAACTGATCTGCATAGCAATGAAACAATCACAAAGGAGGCCCCGTGTCCTGCTTGCAAACAGATATAAATACAGCCTTTGAAAAGATGTTTTAACCACTGTCCCCTCTCTACCATCGCTTAAACTGCTTGTGTTTCTGACTGTCACACAGCAGTCTGATACAGTACCCCATCAATAGCAGAATGAAGACAGACAGCTTATTACTGAAGGGTATTTTCTGTTTGCTGACAATCAACACACCTCTGATGAAAAGTACCTGCAATGGTATTGTACACATCCCTTTCTGACTAACCTTCAAGGGTAGCTTAGTGCTACTGCCGACTCTGGAAAAACTCAAGAATTACAGTAATGACTACCAAGTAAACAACAGAAACCTTAACTGCACTTAAAACACAGTACAAAGATCATCATTTTGGGAGGGTGTGAAGAGGGCAAGGCTCAAATCACAGTCAAAAAACGTGTTCTGTTAACAGCTTAACGAACAAAAGTGTTAAGAACATTTTCTACTTCTCACTGTCTAACAGATACTATGACTACCTCGAAGCTCATGCATAAGTACTGACCATTTCCTGTCAATAAACCCTGGCCAAGTTTCACCTGTATCTTACAACAAGGGTTGTACCACTGGTCTCTCTTCAGTGGTACAAATTTTCACAAAATAAATCTGAACTTAAGTTTTTCTAAAATTCTGAATACACAGTACAATTCCTGCCAAAGACAGGGATACAGAGAGAAAGGAAAATGTACTTTTTAACATAGTGTTAAAATGAAAGAACAGCTTAGAAAAAGTAGTGCTTTATCATCTAATAAACATAATTGTATTACTATGTGAAAAAGGGTCATATCTGTTTAAATAAAATTATGCCCTTAAATAATCAAGTCTAATTGTACAAATTCATATGGCATGCTCTACTTTCAATACAGTATCTTATAGTCAAATATAAAAAGTTACAAGAGAAATTAATGGAAAGTTTCCTTAGCACAGAAGACGTTCATGTCCTGTGCATGACAAAAAACTCACTGAGCTACTGCTGGAGGTTGAAGCTCCGTGACCTTCTCTACTGGTGCTGGGTTTTGGAGAACTTGGGGGTGTCCGGGAAGTACATACCAGATGAACCATATGATACTCATCTTGCTAAAAATTAAAGAAATTGAAAAGCTAAAGCAACAATATTTGAGAAATTTACAAGCAAAAACTGTCCTTAAAAATCCACTTTCAAAGTTGCATTTGCAAACACTAAAGAAACATTATACAAAACAGAGAGACCATACAGCAACACTTCAGCCTAGCACAACAGAATCCTACTGTTTCACAGCTAATGTCTTCTTGGCAGCTGTCCACAACAACATATAGAACATTTTAACACCCCAGTTCTCCCTAGAACTGCAGTATAGCAGAACCAATGGAAGAACCCTGGGAGACACATGAGGAAGTATATCACAAGCTTTAACTTGTATTTTGGAAAAATTTCAAACCTTTTACAGGGCTCAGTTTCCCCAAAGTTAAGAACACTTACATTTGCTCTGAGATCTAGTGAAGAGTGTTATTCAATAACAACATAAGGGTACATGAAAAATGTGGGTGCTGGATTTCCACAAGCAAACCAAGATAAGAAAAACGTACCAGCCACTGCCTTCACCTCACTCCTGTCTAAGCTTGGCTCAAGCCTAATCTGAAGACACCCAAATGAAAGCCCCTTAGATATTCCACACTCAGGGAATGCTATTCAAAAGTGCTACACAGGGCTAGAGTATTCCTAAACATTTGAAAGTGAGGAAGCAAATGAGTGGCACCACTTGAAGCCGTGTCAGCATGCCCATGCCAATTCTGCATGAATATGCTCACCCCTCAACATGGATGCCATAACTACTTCCATCTGAAGCTATTTCACTGTACCAAATTAAAACACCCCCTTATATGGCCATAGCAACAGAACAGCTCTGACTGCGTATTTAGATTGCACACTGCGGCTTTCTCAGTAACCAAATTTTAAAAAAGAAAAGCAACAAAATACCTCTCTGTCCTCTTCTGAAATCAGCATGGTGCAGGCAAGCTGCTGTTTTTCATAAGATGACATTTAGAAATGCTGTGTTTGGAGAAGGTTTTTAAAACCATAAAAAAAATGTTAAAACACCCATTTACCCACTTTTTAAGTTTTAATCTCTAGAAATAAAGAAAACTAAAAAAGTGCTTTTATACACGACTGTGTGTTACTGCTGGCATAGTTGATGCACTCACAGTCATTTAAACTCCTCCACATGTACTGGTTCCTAACCCCAAGCACAGCCTCACTACTACATTAAGTGTAATTTCTTACCAGTCCATGATAGTAAGCAAGGATCAGAAAGCACTGGCACAGGTGATCAGCACTCTGACCACGTCAAAAGCCTTTAACCTAACTAGTCACCTTCTACCTAGATATGAATTTATGCCTTGGGAAAGGCAAGGGAAGCTAGACATATCACTGGTAAGCTTACAGTGTACAGCTTCATTGAATGTGACAGTTTATTGCAATATACTTCTATTTGTACATAATGTGTTGGACATCGCTATGCTCGGGGAGTGCCATAACTTCCAGCCTCACAGTATTTTATATCAGTGAAATCACACTGGTCAGTATCAAAGAGCAAGTATCACAAATCTAAACTGAGAGATTTAGTAAATCCTCAGATAATATTAGGAATTCATAGCTAATCCATTAGGAAGAATATGGCAGAGAATAAGATTGAATTTGTGTAATCATACCTTTTTTCAAAAAGTTCTTAAAAGCCTGAGCACAAGAAACTCCTCTTCTTCCAACACAAATTTCTAACTTCTGCTTAAGACTGCTGTGTTTTCAAATTCACTAAACTTCTTTAACTAAACCCAAGGCATACAACTACTAAAATGCCTTTAAAGTTAAGTATAGCCCCTGTATAGTGAAAAAAAGATATTAGTTACAAAATTCCTCCTCTAGCACGTAAGTAAAGTTTGAAATCATGTTTCCTAAAACCAGTCTGCTGTGAGCAGGCCAAGTGAATTTAAAGGATTGAGACTTCATTTTGTCCTTAACAAGCAAAACTAAGATTTTGAGATAAGTTATAGAAGCATTTCCTTGAACTTTAAAGTGGTACGGGACATATACTGCTTGGCAGTAGTCCAGCTTCAGTTTTCCAGTAAACCTATACATAAAAAATTGAAACCGTTTTTTGCTAAGAAGTTTAATCCCATTTAATAAATTCTATTTCAGAATAAAGATTATAAAGTAAGAGCAGTGTTGGTCTTCAGAAGCAATACTGCATGTGTTTCTCCATCCTTCATACTGAAATTCAGTTGCCCACTTTCACTAAAGCACCATTCTCCTTCAGAGATTTTCCTCCACACTAAGTATTAAAACCGAGAACTTCACCAACTCAATGAAGTCACTATTACTTGGTAGCATCATTCCAAACTATCTGAAGCAGTTTGACAACCAAGTGCATGTATGCCAAGATCTCCTACATGAGACGTCATGTGTATTTAGGATTAGGATTTAAATGTTGACTGAAGAATCCAAAATTAGATTAATAGAATTATTTTTTTTCCAATAGGAACCAACAGAATAAAAAAAGAAAGAAATTAAAAGAGTCAACAAACTTTCAAACATCATCAGGAATGGTTAATAGCTGACAATCAAAAATAGGACAAACAGCTTTCCCAAGAAGCCATTCAGGAATTTAGAATTCTGGGTTTTCATATTTAATATATTACATATTTATATTTATATCGTTATTACATATTTATATTATTACATATTAATTTGCTTACACAAGTGCCATTCTTAAAGTAAGTTCTGGATTTAAGTCTGTACAAGAAATTAAATTATGGCCCAAATCAACAAAATATGTTGTTTTATTCCACTTATGTGACAGTGGTAACTGTCCAAAGAAGTCAAGACCAGGCTGGATGGAGCTCTGAGCAATCTGGTCTAGTGGAAGGTGCTCCTGCCCATGGCAGTAAGGTTGGAACTACATGATCTATAAGTGTCCCTTCCAGCCCATGCTATTCCATGGTTCTGTGACATACAACACAATATTTGTTTGGGACTTACACAGCCTTCTTGCTCTCCCACTAATCAGAAGCATGCCTCAATCCACAAGCATCACAATCCTACGCAAAAGGGATACTCGAAAATGTATCTTCCAGAACATATCAACATTATACAGTTACATTTCTCGATAAAACAATGAAAATTCGAAGCTAAACAACAAAAATCTAAATTTCTATTTTCCAAAAAAAGGGGGTTTGATCAAATATCATATGGTGTTGATATAAAGCTTACTTTTCTGAGAACATCTTTCAGCTGCAGATGATCAGGAAGCAGTCTGCCAGAATACACCAGTCTCTGATCCTTTGTAGACTAGGAGATGGGGACAAAGAAAGGAATTTAGCTTTTTTGCTGCTGTAAGGTATACAGCTGCAGATAACATTTGCAGATGAGAAAACCCCTTAGATGTTCGACCACCAAAATGAGGCTTAAAAACATTTCAGAGGCTTCACAAGTCCAAATTAATTCTGAAAAAGAATTTTGCTATTGAACACTCAGCAAGAGTGTCATAACAATTAACAACACTTCATGGCATATGCTGATCTAGAAAACTTTCAAGTATATTCAAAATTTCCTTTCTTTTAGCGATTTTTCTTTACCCTGCTCCTGTTTCCAGGTACTTTCTGAAAATATATATGGACAAGTGGTTGGGGCAAAGATAAAAAAACCCCACCCCCCAGAATAGTTAGTAGAATGATGAAAGAGCACAGATTTCAATCTTTTTCAACAAGGAATTTCTGTTATTAGTCCTGGCCCCCATTCTCACACCCTCAAAGAAAAAAATCATTATAAGAGAAAACAAGGAGGAAAGCATTAAAAAAACATGAAGCAGCAAAAGCATTTTTTTAAGGTAGCCTTCCAACTTCAGTAACCATTTTTTGCTATTCTTACAGTTTCACAGTTTAAAATAACTTAGTATAGTAAACAAAGATTTCTTATTTTTTTTATGAGTGATATGCTACTCACATGGTATGAACTCCATCTCTATTCTGTAGAACAGTTCAATAACAAAATGATTTTTAAAAGGAAACATTCAGGCCAACTATCTACAGTGAGATGTCCAGTACACCAAAGCAAGCAGCTTACTTCGTTAAACAAAACAAAGGAAAACCTCAATCCCACTCAATTCAGTTCACGCTGTCAAAAAAAGTTGTAAATAGTCTTCACACTAGTGGGTCATTAAAATGTTGTAACTGTGTGAATATACAGCCCTCTTTTTTTTAAAAAAAAAAAAAGGTTCCCAAATATTCACCGATTTTTAAAGAATTTTAAAGGTAATCCAATCATTAGACCTGTTCAGTTTAACTATTGCTTGCACTTTAAATGAATTCAGTAGCATTTATCACTTGAAAGACAGCACTAACATAAGCAAATGCTAAATGCAGAAATCTAGCCTAACATCAGTGGAACAGACACGCATTATCAGCATGAAATATTTGAAAAATTTCCCCACCACAAACTGCGTCTTACACCTCTCCTTCTATCCCAGCCTTCTGCTGCCCACTCGCCTGTCTTGCTAATACCAAGACACAAATAACCAAGACCCAGATCTCTCTGAGTAGAAAAAGCTTTCACGGAAGTTTTGATATTGTTTTTTTCTTGCAGTAGCCCTCTACGGATTCCCAGTAACTCAGCAGAATATAGGAAGGTTGTGGAACTGTTTTTTTTTACCTAGAAAAAATGGTCATATCACTAGAACAAAAAAGAGATACTTAAAGCAAATAATTATAAAATTATTACTCGGTAAATCTGAGTAGCATTTGCTTTAACTTTTTTCCCAAATTCATACTAGCCATGAATGATTAAATACGTCTTTAAAAAGTGAGTTCATAACCTGCCATATATTGTACAGAACAGTTTATCACTTCTATTTAAGAATGATTTTCTATATTAGTTTGCATTTTTCTGTGTTTTTAATTAGTGACATAAGACACTATTTTTATAAGTTTCACAACAAAGGGAACTAGTTATTTGCAGCAAATTGATAAAAAACTGCAATAAATTCAACATCAGTGCTGTACTATTTCTATTTACATTTAAAACACCAACAAAAAATGCCCAACTCTCATGTCAGACTAACTTCTTTTGAGCTATATCTTTTTTGATTGCTCCTTTCAAGCAGGAACAAGCTGCTAACAAAATGTAAGCTTACTTGCATTTTGTATTTGGGAAAGACCTTCTTAGAACAAAAAACAGAATTTTCAGCATCAAGATTAAAGAAAACTCTAATTTCCTGAAAATTATAGACTTGTTGCTTTAGAATGACCAGTGCAGTCAGAAGAAAAATCTAAGAACCCTTGTTTCTTGGTCCTGAGACAGATTATCTGTGGATTAATTAGAAGAGAGAAGTGCTTAAAACAACCAAAACAGAACAACAAAATCAGCTCAAATTCTAAATCTTTAAATAATCATCCAACGAGGCAACAGAATGGTTTTTTGCCTGTCCCACTCATAATACAGCATTCTACATGGTAAATTCAAATTCTTCTCTTCAGTACCTTATGTATGAGCCCCCCTTTAACCTCTTATAATGAGGTTTCTTCCTAAATACAAATACAAGTAACTTTTAAAATACGAATACTTTACAGAGGAGAAACTGCTAGATTAAAACAACCCCTCAAAGCTGACTACAGAGCCTTCAGCAATGCATTTCAGCTCCCTACAAAACCACAAAAAGAAAAGGTTAAACACATTGAGTACTGTTAATCATATTAAGCCAAAGACATTAATGGGGGAAGACAAGGCCTTACTCCTCTCTATATAACTTAAATACCTATGTGAGCACTACAGGATTATGACTTGCATTTCTCAGGGTGAAAGCCAGCCTGGAATTCTAAAATGTGGAGGGAGTGAGGAACATTTAAGTTCAGATGGAAGAAGAGGTGATTAATGTGAAAATACAGTAATTCACATATATGCCAAAGTAAATGGAAAAGGTATTCAACTTATCCTCTGCCAGAAGAGTTTTCACTACCACACCTCCTGCTTCAAGGAACAGCGTGCTCACTGCTAGCCCAAACACTGAACTGTGATGGAAAAACACTTCAGAATACATAATCAGTGTGGCCCCATTTGCAGAAGCAAGCACATGGCATCAGATAAAATTTTTCTAGAACCTGAAGTTTAGAGTGAGATGAGAGACAGTTTGCAGTTCAAAATCCAAAATGTATTTAAAACTAAGAATTCCGGAGTCAGTGCTTTTTAATTCCACTTTTCCTTTCCAATGCTTAGTCCAAATTAGCTATGCCCAGCACATTACCAACCACCAAACCTAAGCTAAGCTAGCAACGTCCTTCAGGAACACAGGCCATCCTTGAGCTATACTGCTTCAGCTACGTGTTATTTTGGTTCACTCAGCCTCTCTCCCATTCTTCCATCGGAAACAAAATTCCAAACAACCACATCTGGTTGCAACTGAAGGCAAAGTATATGCTAGATGACAGGTACTACAGGAAATGAGAAACAGCAGCTTTAAATTAGTTTACGGCTGTAATCGATGCAGCGGTTAATGCACTGAAGGTGCAGTGATCTGCCAGACTGAGACACACAGGCTGATTTTACAACCACCTTATGTTATTTTACATAAACATTTCATTTAGGGGCATTATAACTGCAGTGCTCTACCTGTGAAAAACTGGTCCAATCAGGAAGCAAAAGTATCGACAAATGTGAACCTTAGTACAGACTCACAAACTAATTTAATACCATTTTGAAGCTATTTACCTTACTAAATTACTTACTTTGCGAAGTATACCAACTTTAATAACAACTAAACCAATCTAAATGCGACTACATTTGAAATTTTTATGTATTTAGGCAAGTCATTTACACAAATTAATCCAGAAAAAAAATCACAAACAACACTGCCTCAAGGCCTAACTTCTGATTTGCCTATTTTAACCACCTCACTTTCTGAAGATATACTCTTAATAAATTGTAAATTTAATTACAACACAGTTACCATCAGTTTACTGACTAATTTACAGAGGCACATAACGAGAATGAAGTTCAAGTCACACTGAAAACTTGACACACAACATACAGCAGTGACAGCAACTGATTTCTATTTTACACCCTTAACTTCAAGAACACAGCAAGACCTGCATAGAGTGTGCTCTGATGTACCCTGCCTAAAATAGCATTGTAATAGAAGTTATTTCCAGGACCTATCATATTCAGGGAACACAGAAATCTGATCAACAAGCTTTTGACACTGATCTAGTTTAAAAGGAAGAAAAAAAAAGGGGTGGGGTGAGGGAGCTCCTAAAAACACGAAGATTTAAAGGATTTTGAAAAAAGCAGTAGCACTCAACATCAAGAGCATATCAAGCCAAAAATACACTTCTTGATTTTACTATAGATAGGAGCCATCCTATTAAACACCCTTCTCCTCTCTCACGTTATTATTTTGAAAGGTTCCATGAAATAAAGATACTGTGTTCAGTTATTAGTTTAAATGCAAGTACAGCAAATCCAAAATAAATTGGAACTACTGAGATAATTCTCACTACAGAAACTCACCATTCTTTAAACACAGAAAAATTTTGGGGATTCTGAACTAGTCACTTAATAATGAGAGGCATGTTGAGAAATATTTTCAACAGAAGAAAGATGTTTCAGGAAACTAAAATTTAATATTATACTACTGTTCAAAGCCTATATGCAACATGAAAACCTCTTGTTCATTAAGGATCCTTCCTTTCAGGAGCTCAATTTATCAAGATCATAGGATGAGTTAGAAAACTAGTGTTAAAACACAAACGTCACTGGAGGAGATTCTTGTGAGGAGGAAGAGGCAACAATCAGCTGGAGTCACGTATTTGTTTTTCACACCAGACAGGCTTTCTCAGTAGAGAATTACTCACAGCAGTAACTATATCCACAAACTCTCAAAACTGCTTAAGACATTTCAGTGCAGCAGTGACACAGCCCAAGTTGTTGACTGCTTTTCTTCTTTCTCCAAAACCAAAAACCCTCTTTGAGACCCAAAGCTACTATTTTACTTTCCCCCGTCAAAAAAAAAAAAAATCTTCCGTTGAACTAGGTGAATACTAATAATTTCCAATATAAATTAAACCTTTTTCTGATGTTTTCTATAGCAAAGTCTAGGCCCCACATGCTACTGCAGTGTAGAGGCAAAGTCACTTTATACTGGAACAAATTTTTAAATACACCGTTCTGCATGACTGCCATTCTAAACAGGTACAGTATTATCTACTATTACCTATGTTGGTTTTTTTTCACAGCCTCTTCTTAATTGCCAAATATAGAATTTTAAAAAATTCACAAATAAACCATATTATCCTCAGGAACAAAAAAAGCTGTCGTACATATTTGTAAAACACTTGTGCAGAGAATTTTCAGCACAACCTCAAGAAAAATGGCTTTTCAAAGAGAGAAAGATAAGGAAATAAATCCAGAGGTTGTTCGGCTGCATGTTTCAAGTAATATTATTAATAAACATCTAGTCCACACCTCAATGAATTCACTAGATGGTGTTAACATTAGGTATATCACTTATACCGTAATTACTTTAGGTAGCACGCTTACATTTACAATTAGTCTTAAATTCAGTTAACTGAGACACCTAAATCCCAGTTCCCCAAAAAGCTATAAGAAGCATTGGGAAGCATCTTTAGCGATATTGCCTTTCAGGATGCTACACTGCGATCTTCTCACACCGTGCAGAAGAGAAGCCACTATTATACTACCAACTTTCCTGAAAGCAGAGGAGGGCCAGCCACTGCCTTCACGCAGGTCACTCTTCAGCAGCAGGACTCTTGTTTACTTATTTTGCAGGGTCCAAAAGAAGTCTTGAGCGACCAAGTTACCGCAGCCCCAGCTTTACGGACAAGGCGAGGGAAAAGGGCTGGCCAACAACTCACCGGCTTGCTGGGGTACACCTTGGAGAGGTGAGTCTTCAGCTTGCCCACAGTCCACTCCAGAAAGCAGCTGATAGTCTGATCGGTGTATTTCTGGTTGGGGGCCTTGATGATGAGGGTCACCGGGTGCTCCACGACGCTCTGGTCCATGCTGCCCGCGGGGAAAGAAGGGCGGCCCTTGCCCCGCTCTCCTCCTCCCCGGGAACACGGAGCCGCTCGAACCTCTCGGGGGGCTGCGGGCGGGTTCAGCGGCCGGGAGCGAACTTCCCGGGGGAGCCGCGGGAGTCCATTCTCGTGCCGGCGCCCCGGGAACCGCCGCCACAGGGGACCGCACCCTCGCCCCCCACCCCGGCAGAGGGAAGAGCGAGGGAACAGCGCAGCACCCGGAACGCACCCGCCCGAGCCAAGCCCCTCTACCCACAACACAGCCCCGACCTCCGGCCGCCGCCGTCCGCGTAAAATGGAGGCCGGAAGTGCCTCCGCCGCGTCCCCCCGCCCTCCGCCGCTGCCTCCGACCGGCACGGGGGGGCGCCCGCGGGCCGGGCGGGGGCGAGGGGTGGTGCAATGGCGGCGGGGTTGTGTTTGGCTGCCCGGCGGTTTGCGGCCGTAGGCGGAGGCCTTCGGTAGAAGGTGCGGGTGTCCGGCGGCTGCTCGGCTAGATACGTTCATTCGCGGGTTCTCAAGGATTGGAAGCTTAAGGAATTAAAGCTTTGTTGCTTGTGTGTCTTGCCTCTGTCACCGCTGCGTGGGAACGCCTCTCTATATTTACCCCAAATATCCTTGTGAGGTCAGGAAATGCTATTTTATGGCCGGAGTGGAGGCCATAAAATCACACAGAATCACAAAATAACAGGATGGTTTGGGTTGGAAAGAACCTTAAGGATCATCTAGTTCCAGCCTCCCTGCCTCCCTCCTCCGTGCCTCCCTCCAACCTCACTGGAAAGCAGTGATGCTTTCCACTAGACCAGGTTGCGCAGAGCCCCGTCCAGCCTGTCCTTGAACGCTGCCAGAGATGGGGCATCCACAACTTCTCTGGGCAACCTGAGCCAGTGTCTCACCACCCTCATAAGGAAGAATTTCTTCCTTATTCCTAACCTAAACCTCCCCTCTTTCAGTTTAAAGACATTCCCCCTTGTCCTGTCACTACATGTCCGCCATCTGTCTTGTAAGCTCCCTTCAGGTACTGGAAGGCCACAACTAGGTCACCCTGAAGCCTTCTCCAGGCTGAAAAAATCCAGTTCCTTTTACCTTTCCTCATAGGAGAGGTGCTCCATCCGTCTGATCATCTTGGCGGTCTGGACTGTCTCCCATAGGTCCTTCCTGTGCTGAGGATGCAGTTGGATGCAGCACTCCAGGTGGGCTCTCATCAGAGCAGAGTAGAGGGGCAGAATCACTTCCTCACCTGCTGGCCATGTTGCTGTCAATGCAGCCCGGGACAAAATTGGCTTTCTGGCTGTGAGCACACATTTCTGGCTCATGTCCAGCTTCTCATCCACCAGCACCACCAAGTCCTTCTTGGCAGGGCTGCTCTAGATCTGCTTATTCTCTAGCCTGCGTTGATAACAAAGGTTGCCTTAACCCAGGTGCAGCACCTTCGACTTGGTCTTGATAAACCTCATGAGATTCCCATAGGCCCACTTCTCAAGCTTGTCCAGGTCCCTCTGGATGGCATCCCAGCACCACTCAGCTTGGTGACTTCTGCAAAGTTGCTGAGGGGCACTCAATCCCTTTGTCTATGTCATTAATGGAGATGTTAAACAACACTTGTCCCAGTATGGACTGCTAATGGTTCTCAAGAGTTCTGTCTAAAACCATAAAATAAGTTTCTGCATTTCCATGTGAGCACTGCAAAAATTTAATCATCTTACATGATTTTTCAGTTTCTGGGAAGAAAATACTTTAAGGGATAACCTTCAACGTTGATGGATAAACTGACAATGAATAAGGGAAAAGTTCAGTGTATGAGACTTCTACTAAAGATGTCTGCAATAAAAGTTGGCCTCATTAACTTAATAAAAACAAGAAAATGATTTTAAAAAATAATTGTCTCTTGAGCAAACAAACAGTGCTTTCCTTATATTTCCTTCTGTCTTCGAATGCTATATGTAACTACAGAAGGCACAAGAGTTTCAGACAGGTCTGATTTTTCCAGTAGATAGTGTCCCTTTAGTGCCAAAGAATCAGATTTTTCATTAGGCTGAAGTGAGGCACGGAGAATTTTGCTAATAAAGACAGGACTGTAAGGAGCTCAAACTTCTGAAGGGAAAGATAAAAAAGGAGCCTGCAGGAATATCATTAGCACCCAAGACCTAATTCTCCCTTTAAAATAAAACCTGAATACGGACAACAGCTAATGTGAGAATTTGCAAAAACAGAGAGGTCTTAATTTTTATGTTTATTGATTTATAATTACTTTCCTCTACAACCACTCCTTTGCAAACCTTGTGTTTGAGATGGAGCATGAGACCTCTCTGTTCCTACAGCACCTGTTATCCTTGAGATGTCTTATCAAATTGTAAAAGTGGGTGGCTGGTACTTGATAGCACCTTCAGCTGCAATATTTGATGTGCTCATACCAGTTTCCCAGACCTTCCCATGTTATATAAGAACAATTGTTTGCACTTGAAATTCTGAACATGCTGTCACTTCCAGAGTATGTAACTTGGAATTCCCGGGAATTTCCAAGAATAGACTACAATTTCCAAGCACCAGGCAAATATCTGTACATAAGGCAATGCACCAAAATGGATCAGCTAGCTGATCACGAGCACTTGGAAGGATTAATATGCGAACAGTATGTTTTAAATTTTGCATTCAGGATGGTTGCAGTCTTATTGCTTGACGATTTGGCAGTCACACATAGGATTTCTATAACACACACTTTAACTAGTATACAAAACCTCAGATTGAGATGACAAATAAATCTCCTGAGTTACAAACTAAGAACAGTAAGACCTTTTCTGTGATGGCATTTTAGAAGCTGCATGTTGTGCTAGTTCTGTAGGCAGATCCCTGCACTCTACACAGGCCCTCGGCAGTCAGAACAACACTTGCAACAATCTCATTGTAGGACTAAAACTTAGAACCTTGTAAAAATAGTTTGACATTAATTTATGTTCCAGAAAATCATAGAATCATAGAATGGTTTGGGTTGGGACCTTATAGATCACCTAGTTCCAACCTCCCTGTCATGGGGGCACAAATGTCTTATGAATATACATTGTGAAGTATCGTATCACACCAAGAGTCCATTTGATATTTTAACATGCAAGAAATTATGTCGTTATTCTTAATACCTGTCTGGCTTGACATACCTTGACACATCCACTGAAATCTTTTTGCATACTTGTATAATCTGTGACATCTCTGTAGTTCAGAAGAAAAATTGTGACAAATCATTTTTAAGAATGCCAAAAAAATTATTTTTTTAAATAAAGGAATTCATGCATTAAAATTATGAAAGACTGATGAATCATCTTCTGACTCTTGAAATTAATAAAACAGGTACCTAAAATGAGAGTTGGGGCTTCTTATACAGTCATTAGACTATCCAAGGAAAAATTCAGGTCATATGAGATCCTATGTTTCTAAGTTCTTAAGTAAGTTAGGCACAGGAGATACCCTATATGATTAAGCTACTAGAGAGCATCCAGAGGATGGCAATGAAGGTGGTGATGGGTCTTGAGGGGACTTCACCTAAGGAGCAGCTGAGTTCACTTGGCTTGTTGAGTCTGGAGGAGACTGAGGGGAGACCTCATCACAGTCAGCAGCTTCTTCACAAGGGGAAATGGAGGGCAGGCACTGATCTCTTCTCTCTGGTGACCAGTGACAGGATCTGAGGGAATGGTATGAAGCTGTGTCAGGGGAGGTGGAGGTTGGGCAACCACCTGGTTGGCCACTGGAACAGGCTCTCCAGGAAAGTGATCACAGCACCAAGCCTGACAGAGTTCAAGAAGCATTTGGACAACACTGTCAGGCACATGGTGTGATTCCTAGGGTTGTGCTGTGCAGGGCCAGTTGAACTTCAGTGATCCTTGTGGGTTCTTTCCAACTTGGGATATTCTATGATTCTATGATTCTAGTCTATGCTGATATCCATTTATCAAGCTGGAATAGATCAAAATCTCAAGTTATTGAGATTATTGGTAGTAAAATATCATCTCTGTTTCTTGATTAAATAGTTAATTATTTTATTTATTTATCTTCTGAAAAGATAGTGAGTGTACAGTCTAAAAACTCTGGAACATTTCTTTCTTTCATTCCTCTGCAGAAGCCAGCAGGGGATAGCTTAGGCGCTGTAACACAAAGTAAAATCACAGCAGCTACAAGCTGAGTTGCAACCAACAAATTCAACCTCTTCTGTTATTTATACTAATAGTTGAGGTCATGTGAAATGACTGACCTGTATGTGGGATGACAACCAGAAAGAACTTGAGAATCTCTATGCTCAGACACATCAGTTCTCTCTGAGATTTTTTAAAAACTGTGCCTTACCATAAAACAATCACAAGGATTCCCACATTACTTCTTTAGAACAAATGACTTTGAGAAAATCAGTATTTCACTCCTTGCCAAGATTTTTTCTTGTAAATCACAGAATTTACATTTCAATTAATGATCTGGAAAACTTGATGTATTTGGAAGAAAGCGTGGTTTTGTGCTGTTTGTGCTTCCTTCAGTTGTATACATGAAGCCAGAGAGGTTTATTCCTTAAGAAAACTAAGGGAAAGGTCATGTTCACATGATTTTTTTCACTCTGGAAGTGTGTGTCATCCCTTCAGTAACAGAAATATTACTAATTCACAACAGTACTATAGGAATTTCCATAATAGATTTCCGTCAGGAAAAATGTCTTCGTAAGCCTTTTTGTTACCGTATTAATGGTACTGATAAATGGGTTTGACTATGTCTTTCAACAAGAAGTATACAATTTGTCAGTGTTATTTCTGATATTTCTGTAAGCAAACAAGCTGAAATGCATATGTGTTTAAATATAATAATGAGCTTCTCTGTTGTTTTTTAGGACTTATATGCTTATGTTTCCTATATGTACCAGTTGATTCTCCCCCTAACCTTTGAGCCCAGTGGAAAATTTCCGTCAAACCTCACAAGGGGTCACAGTCTCAGATATTACAATCCTGAAGGCTTCAAGAATTAAGGGGCTATTAAGAGAGAGAGCATATTCACTGATAAGAAAGCTAATAAGCTTTCTCCTTTCTAGCCATCAGAGAATTCAAATGGAGCAGACCAAAAGAGAAATACAGAACTACTTGCTTTCACTTGCAAATCATGTAAAGAACGTGACAGTTTAAGGCCCCACCAGTTTGCAATAGGTAGCTGGTGAACAGAGAGCAACATAGCTGTGGGCTTCTAATGAATTAAACAGGGCTATGCAGTTCCAACAGTTGACTTCTGGAATAAAGTCCTATAAGACAAAGATCTGGTTTCTAAGAGGGG